AGTTGACAAATTCAAGGGTTAAACTATTATGGGTTTTTACCGATTTATAGAATTTGAAAATGTAAAAAAATATGGTTATTAGACTTCTTCCATCGTTTGGTTGGCGGAGAGAATGAAGAAGAAATTTAAGTTCGTAATACTTGTGGATGCATTTGTAAAGGTTTTTCCGTTAACAGGTTGGTAACGGTTCTAACGGTTGTATGTTTAAATTTACGAAGCTTCTAGGTATAGCTAATAGTTCAAACGTACTAGTGAGTTTCTATATAAAACAATTCACTGAACCATAACTAAGTCAGAGCGATAACAGAAACCTAAACCGTAATCATATTATCACAAACAGAATTGAAAAAAGTTCTCTGTCATGAGGCCTATTTGTGAAGCTTTCAACAGAACAGGGTTAATTAAAGGTATTCGGCACCTGTGTGGACAGAGCTCAAATATAACACCTACACATGTCTGTGGGAATGGTATTAAAACTTACAAATGGTCTTTCTTTTTTACACTTGAATTTCATATACTTGTAAAATAGCCTAAAAATATCTCGTGTAAGTTCCATGTAAATAAAAGCTAAGAATAATAATCAGTTTGATAGTTTTATGATGTAAATTGATGAGTTTAATCTCTTGTGACAATTAATTTCGCATCAGATGTAGTTACTTAGTCTTGTTTAGTGATACAGGAAGTACCCAGAATACACAAGTTCTATATATGATTCACGATGTTTTATAAAATAGCTGTATAATGGATATAAAATATACTACCATAAACCTCATGTTAAAAAAATCTTAAATTCTTCTATATATTTTGTTTATATTTTATGAGCTCCAAATAAAATCTTGTATGGAAATGTTTACTACTAAGATGTGGATATTTAGTCACTTGTGATGAACTGTGACTGAGGTTATTCAGGTTATATTTGGGAAGGTCATAAATTATATAATATATATTGGTAGTATTGAAGTTTTAGGTTCAATATAGTGTTTTCTTGGAATTAAAAGATCAAATCCTTTCGTCAGAGCAAATACATCCCTGAAGCTCATATGAAAACAAAACC